TGATTATGCGGCCAACCTAGACAGAGGAAGAATCAATGAGACATACTGGAACACCATCAGTAAGCCACGTGGAAAAACAACAACGCGGCGACGAGTTACATGGCAGTTACGGTTAACAGACAGATTGGGCCTGAAACGAGTTGTCAAAAAGCCACCCGTGTAATTCAAGGGCATAAGAACGTCAAGACTGATTACTACAAGGAGAGTGAAATGATTTAGAACTGAATCTAATTAATTGCTACGTGAACGTCCATAGATAACATCAGAGGTGGTGATTCGTATGCGGTGTCCAGAGGAGGGCAAACCTTGAAGGAGTGACGGGTCGCTTCATAGGCCTCGGTGCAGACGGCGGCTGCTCCGCCCTCCCCCTGCCTAGGACTCAACCCTAATTCGCAGCCCAGGTTTACTGGACCGACTTCATTGTCGGTGGTCTCCTCTACACAATGAAGTGAGTTATGAAGTATGGTCCGGCCAATAGACAGGATGCAGCCGTGTTGTGGGATGCAAAGACGAAGGCTTTACTCCCGATCAGCCACAACTCCCCAGCCCCTACCTTCCTGTTATCTAGGCCCTGCGGGAAAGGGGGGATGCGCGAAACCGTATGTGTCCAGATTAATTCGGGTCGTTTTCACACCGAGTAAAAGCAAGACTCCTGGCGGAAATTGGCAGCAGTCCAATTTCGGGAGGCACTGGTTAACTCCACACAGAAGAAGAGCTTGATTAATGAGCTCTAAGGAAAGCTGGCAGGCACGCCATCTGAAAACTGGCGGTAGCCATTACGGCGGCGGTGGTGGTGGTTGTGCGAATGGTTTGGACTACCATCTCCGGTATACGAGTTGAGAAGGCCGTCATTAGCGTTACTTCTTACTTAAAGATTGCCAGCTCCTGCTGTTATCCAGTTGTTTTCCGTTATTGTGCGTAAGCTTGCTTGCCGTCCCGCCCCTAACCTTCCGTGCTGTGGTGTCACTCCGATGCTGTGATTCATGAAGTTGCGGATTTTTGAGTAAAGCCACTAAGGGATTCAGAAGGCCGCCGATCTGTCGGCAATCTTATGGCCTACCTAAAACTCGAACATTCAATTCCACAGTATACCCAGAAATTTGGATGGAAAAATAGTGTATGCAACTTGTTACAATAAGCGTATTGCGGAAAATGGACAGTAATTTAAGAAGGAGATTGTGTGGCAAATACAGACGTGCAAACTTTAGTACTGCTCGATAAAGACAGAACGAGATGAACAAACAGGAATCAGCATACCATTACTGGCGTCCACAACAGTGGCCGATTGGTAGTAGTAGTGGGCCAGTCTTCTGGAATACAAATCTCCAACCTCCAAATGATAACGATCTAAAGTTAGGTTGGAGTCAATAAGAGAACATACACAAATCGCCGATGTAAACAAGGATTCTAAGGCATAGTTTCTGGGCCCATTCAGAGGCCTCTTTTGAAACGTGGGAATAGCCTGGCTCTAAAAAATTCTTCTATCAGTATTACGTTTCTTACGAGCGAGGCTTTGGAGCTCAAGTAACGACCATGTTTGGTTCCAGGTATCCGGTCTACGGTACGCAGATTGCAACCGCAGAAACAGTGTTTGATAAAAGCCGAGGGCACTTGATAGATGCATTTTGAAAGCTGATTCAAATTGTGCCGCATTAAAGCTAGAATCCCCACCCTACCCATATAAAAGCAACAAGCCACTTACTCTGAAGACCAGTTTTGATAAGTGAATAGGCTCATAAAAAACTTTCCGCCATAAAATTTCCTCGCACTTATTACCGTAGGAGACTGGGTCTGACATTAAAAGTTTGAGAATAAGCACTTTAAGGCTAAAGAATAAATTTCAAGAAGTATTTACCGTAATCTATAGCTATAGGCCTCATAACTGAATAATGTCTTTGAGAGTTTTCCGTTTTTATATACTCCGTCCAATCGTTTGATTAACTCGCAGGCATTTCTCAAATACGTCATCATACTAAAGTTTGCACTTACTTATATAACAGTTTTTGTCTGGCAATGGTAGCGGGGCTTTGATTCTGGACTCCAAACTGCATCACGATGCAAACGACTGCCCCAGGGTTGCTATATGCAAAGGACAGCACAGGTTAGCAAAATGTATCTTGGTTTAACCGCCCACATTACAGCTTAGCATAAACAAAACAAAGCATATAACACAATGTCCCGCATATTGTGTTGTTTATTTTCCAAAATGTAGTTATTTTAGGTTCTCTAGGCATGACACCCCATAACTTCTTATGCTTGTGCTTCATCGGTCGCATGCAACTTATATAGACCTCAGTCGGCCCCCATAAATTAAGTTGCTAAACAGCACTTTCTCTCGCCCACTTGCGGTCCATCCAGGACGGTACCTAATCGAGTGCTAGTATCTTCATTTACGTAGCAACGTAGTTCGCCATTTTTTCTCGATGTTTGGGTGCGCTGCGCAAAGTCCTTAGTGGCGCCTACGATTGCACATGTCCCGCATGTTTGATGAAGTCCCCGAAGTCTTCATTGTATCAGGCGAAGGAGGAGATCTATTCGAGACTCTGACCAGTACCGTTCCTTCGCCATTCAAATAACTGGAAAGCAGTTTGGCAAAACGATCCCTATGGTTGCGAGCGCATACCTGGCATTGAACGCTGCGCAACTAAGACCGAAGCTAAGTGCCTATGATAGAGAACGCACATATAAGTCTGTGGCCGATTTTATTCTAAACACTGTCGACAATAGCCATGCTGCTCGACACTCATTGAATATTATATTATTTAATGCCAATTCTGTTATGAACAAGATGGCTCAAATCGGAGCCATTGTTCCCCAAATGACGCCCGGTATTAATTCAAAAACAGAATCCTGAGCCCATTCTCCAGTTCGTGACTTCCTTTTTATAGATGACTTTGATTTCTATCCTCAGGGTTGCACGAATTAGCATGGAGGCGGTTGCCCTCTGCACCTTTGATATTCCCTAAAGCACTCGCCCCATTACCTACATGCCTCCTCATTCACAGGAAACTTCTGCTCTGAATCTTTTATTCTCTCGTCACAAATATAGGATTTTTTGGCTGTATCTGCAATCCCCCAAACACTTCAACCATAATAAAATCTTTAAATTAACCTCTGAATTTTTTTTCGATGACAAAATAATCACTGGGCACTTTAACCTTTCTGAAATAGGTTGGGCTTCGAATATATGTCCGCCTGGTTTCCGACGTTTCCAAGAAATAATTGATTTTTCCAGCTGATCCAATTACGTGCGCTCTCTCGCAAGAGATAATTACACTTTAGACCCAGTCTTTACCAGTGACATCACTCTTTTTGTTGCCTTTGAAAAGTATATTTTTGATAGTGACAACGTATTATTTCATTGTTGCCTACCGCTTGCCTTTTTAAAGAAGGCCATTGCGATTTCGACCTACCTAAATGACGATTGCGTGGACAACGACCTAGTAAATAACCATATAAAATCATTGGACTGGCGCGGCTGTTTATTTTATAATCATACAACAGTTCTTTGGGACGTCATTACCAGTGTTTTCAAAGACATCTGAGAGTTTGCCCATCGTAGATATTTCAAATCCAACTCTTCGAATTCCCTTGTTCCTCTCTTTCTTTGTAGCAGACTAGGCAATTTGAGACGGCAGCTGTGTGACTTTTCCACTAGTTTTTTATCCGTTCATCTAAGGATCGCATAAATTTTTGGAATGGCCCCGAGGATGCGCAAAGCGCGCGACAGGCAATGAGAATCACTTGCTCTCAGTAAACCAAGCCCTGCCAAATACGTCGTTAGAATCTTCCGCAATTGGTCCTTTGCTAAGCGGGGTCACAAAACACCACCCTTGCCTAACGATAACGAAATCTTCCTCATCGATGACACTGACGAGCGGAACTGTTTTTTGCACTCTTTGCAAAACACCTTACTACTGAGTCCGGCCCAGTTCATTTCTTTCGTTCACATTCAGATAGGACCCAACACAATCGGTGTATCCTCAGACCCAGTTAAGAAATTCATAAGTCGTTTAAGAAAACTCACACTGCTCGAGAACGGACGGGATTCCAAATTCGATTACCAAACAATCCTTCGACCCTCCAATATTGTCTATTCATTTATTCTTGGTTTATATTTCTAGCGGATTTTTCCCTAAAGCATGGAAGACGTCTATCATGAAGCCCGCCTTCGAGTCTGGATCTTGGTCCGATATTAACAACTATCGGGGCGTGCACAAAACCCCGTCTCTGGCAAAAATTCCTAATAGAATAATTTTCAGTGAAATTGTTGATTTCTGTCTAGCTAATCAGCTTCTGAGCTCTAATTAGCATGGTTTTTTTTACCAGAAAGATCCTGCGAAACTTACCACGTAGCTTTTCTTAACTTAACCAATCTTCTTCGTAATGAGCAGCAGGCAGTGATAGTAATTTACTTTGATCTTAGCAAAGCCGTCGACAGAGTTCCACACGGAGGTCTTTTGATAAAATAGGAGACCCTCCGCATTCGACCTCCTCTGCTCGATTTCATCGGGTCCTACCTGTCCAACCACTATCAGAAAGTCATGGCTGGTAAAAGCTACTCAACATCTCATTCGATCACGAGTGGCGTACTTCAGGACACGGTTCTGGGTCTGCTACTCTTCCCTCTTTACATCAATGATATTTCGAGTGAAATCTGAAGTTATCAAACGTTTATTTCTGCCGACGACCTAACCTGTGGTTACTCTTATTCTAAGGACACCGCAAGTGCTTGGTTCGAAAAAATTAATGCCGATTTGCTACGCATAAGCAGATAGAGTTCAACATGACAGATGGAGTTTTCATTGTCCAAGTGTATTTTTAGTTTATTTCAGTTTATTTGGTAAGGATAATAGGCAAATCCTTTGAAAACCCTATTGATTACATGTCAGCTCGTTAGAAATAACTGTACACGAACAAAAAATATTCACTATAAAAACAGTACTTGGTTCATTTGAGTAGCATTGTCTCAGAGGAAATATTTGTGGGGACCAGGGGTATTAGTTCAGATTCAGACCGTCGAGGGAAAACAGGGGACACAAATAATCATCCAAGCGTTTCTTGAAGAGTTGCAGGGATGTAGCCTCCACGACTGACTGAGGGAGATCGTTCCATTTCTCCACTACCCTCTGCGTGAAAAATTCAGAACGGAGATTCAGCCTGGACATTGTTGTCCGTAACTTCATCGAGTGACCACGAAGATTGGGTGAAAGGTGCCACTGAAACATGTCCTCAAATTTAAGTCCATACTCAAGGCCATGTATTATCTTGTAGACGAGGATAAGATCACCTCTTTGCTGCCTGTAACACAGAGGGAATAAATTAAGGCAATTCAGTCTGTCTGTGTAGGAATGGCTTTTTAGACCGTTTACCAGCTTTGTTGCACGCCGTTGTACCCGTTCGAGGCATTCTTGGTCCTTTACCAGCCATGGCCGCCATGCTTGTATGCCATATTCTAAGTGGGGCCGAACAAATGTGCCGTAAACTCTCCCAAAAAGGTCTTGGTCAAAATTTACGAAAGCCCTTTTTATTGCATGCAGCACTCCCATGGCGTTTTTTGCAGCCTTGTGGCACAGCAGTGTTGGTTTCAGGTTGTTCTGTATCCAAACCCCGAGATCCTTCTGTGAAGATTCTGCGGGGAGCCTTATATCTTTCAGGTGATAAGTCCTCAGCCTCTCATTTGAATGAGAGTTGGTTGGACGCAGATGAAGGACGGCACACTTCTCCACATTGAAATCTAGAAGCCATTTCTTCGACCACGCTTGCAGTCGGTGCAGATTATCTTGAAGGGATCTCTGATCATGCGGACCCTTAATGACTTGCCAGAGCTTAACGTCGTCTGCAAACATTATTTTGCCGCAGTCGATTTCCTGAAGGCTGTCGTTAACGTAAAGGATGAAGAGCAATGGTCCCAGAACTGAGCCTTGCGGCACACCACTGGTCACATTCACCCATTCTGACATGTCATCCCCGATACAGACACGTTGTTTCCGACCAACCAGAAACGCCCTTATCCAGTTCAGAAGATCTCCACGGATGCCGATGTCGCTCAATTTGTGAAGAAGACGTTGGTGTGGGACAGTGTCAAAAGCTTTGCGGAAATCGATGTACACGACATCGACCTCAAAACCCTCTTCTAGAGCCCTGGTCCAGATTTCCAGACAAGCTAGCAGATTTGAGAGGCAGGAACGTCCTCTCCGGAAGCCATGTTGAAAATCCTGCAAGATGTTATTTTCTTCACAAAATTGCTGTATAGCGTACTTTACTATAGCTTCCATCGTTTTGCAAGGGAGGCAAGTTAAGCTAATAGGCCTAAAGCTGCTTGCTGTCATCCTGCTACCTCCCTTATGCAATGGAACGAGGTTAGCTGTCTTCCACTGTGAGGGCAGCCTTCCTGTTCTCATTGACAGCTCAAAGAGAGTCGAAGGAGGCTTTGACAGCTCCGTTGATAGCTCCTTAAGTATCAGCCCGGGGATTCCGTCGGGTCCAGGAGACTTATCAGGTTTTATTTGACTGAGGACGCGTCTGACTTCTTCCGCGGAAAAGGCGACGGTTTTAATGACGGCAATATTTTGGCGCATTTGAAGCTCCCGGCTGTCTCGGTCCATTTCAAACTGCTGATTGTCTTCTAGGGACTCCTCCGTAAAAACCGATTGAAAAAAATGAGACAGTAATCGCACTTTCTGTGACCCTTCAACTAATAAGTTTCCGAGGCTATCCTTTAGACACACAATTTCGTCCCTATGTTTCCTCCTACTGCGGATGTACCCGTAAAACTTCTTGGGGCATGTAATGGATTCTGCTATCAGTCGACCCTCGAAAGAAGTTCTAGCAACCCGTATTTCTTTGCGGCATTTATTGCGCTGATCTTTATATTCGGCGAGTGACCTTGGATCTCGAAGTTGCAAATACTTTTTCCAGAGTCTCTGTTTCTTCTTCATGGTCTTTTTTGTCGTCGGATTGACCCACG